GATAGACCAGTATTCGGGCCCATGGGCCTAGACGTCCACGTATTGTCTTCTGCAACCAACCACACGAATAAATCGACAGGCCTCTGACAATGTTGGTAAATTTATAGGGCCGAATGAATAAAACGTTCGTGCTGGACACGTTCCCTTGTACGTACCTTATTGACGTTATAGAAATACACAAACGAAAATGGCTACAACTTGAGACGACGCCTCCACCGGCGTGAATAGGTTAATGCACGCGATTTGTTTAATACACACACGAAAAAATAATCATTCAAAAATAGCGCCTCCTACAGGCGCAAAAGGTAAATGCACGCGTTTTTTTCTTCTTTTTACACATACACATTTTCATTCGACCATTTTTCAATGCACATACATTTAATGAACACATGCACATATCAGTCATTTTAAAACACTCCATTAAAACGCACAGTCACGCCGTTTTTAAAATGCACACATCATTTTAAACACACACGGCACGGCCTCCAATAGGTTCGTAATTTTGAATTATTAGTACGTTGTATTCTAGTATACACAAAATAATAAATTTACATTCCGCGCCTCGTAAACGTACAAAATGATGTCTTTAAATTAACACTGCTCGGGAAATACGTTTGTTAAACATAGTATGATTTTGAATTTACATATTACCGCCGATGTTTTTTGAGTTGTCTACTTCTACTGTTCCGTTTTAAATATTATCGAAATCATCCCGTTATAATGTAATTAGTCTCTCCGGGAAATTTCATATTCAGAAATTAATTAAAACGATAACTCCCATTGTGGGTATTATTTCAAAATTGAGACACTGTGTTCCTAAATCAATCGTAGTAATGATTTATAAACTCATTTATTTTACTAAATTTGTCATATTGCATAGAAGTTTGGGCCATACTTATGAAACAACCTTAAAGCACATTCTACAAAAACGAGTTCTGAGGCTAATTTATTGGTCAAACTTTTTTTATGATCATTCCAAACCACTCTTTAAAAACATATATACATGATCTATGTAAATTACAAACAGGAATGTTAATTTTTGATCTGAAAATAATAATCATGCGAGATGTGTGCTAGATTATTTTGACCAAATTCAGCACTCGCACAGTACAAGATCTGTAGAAAACGCAAATTTCTTTGTAGAAAGGAAACGTTTAACTCAAAGTCAACACAGCCTAATTTAAGGTAATACCTTATTCTGGAACTCATTGCCAGTGTCATTAAAAAATATTACCTCTCGATACACATTTAAACAAGGTCTTAAAAAGTATCTCTGTAATAAATAACCCAGTATTGACTCATGTAACGGTTGTCACTCTCAGTTTTAAGTATTCTGATAATTTGACTAGTTTATAATTAGGGTAGGGACATGTTTTACTAGTTCTTTTTGAGCTATTTATCATGTTCCACATCATAATGACAAAGAATTATGTATTTAGCAAGTACCCTATTGTATTTACTTTTTGCTGAAACAAAATATACAATACAATACATTCGACAGAGTGGGGGGGGGGGGAATATACGAGATTCCAATGTTTCATAATAAATGTTTTCGATTAATAATTGCCCTTTAACATAATATTCATGATATGTTTACGTCATAACAGTATTAGCATATTGTGTACGCACTTCCCATGCATCGGGTCCTTTTTCTGTATTCCACAACGCATTTGTCATCACAGTGATGTCAATTGCAGATTATATATTGCGCAATGTTCAATATATCAATGAGGTTTGTCAATAAAACCTAACTGATGGTGCTTAACGTTGTGTTCATATTCAAAGCCCACACATAAGTGACGCTACCAGATGTATATACACAAGCTAACAAGCCACACCAACCCAGCGACTGCTCAGATAGCAACAGATTTGTACACACTCCCACCAAGTCATACGCTGAAATATGTAATTACAATTCTGGCACCCCCATGAACATGAACATCAGTACATACCTCGTACTGCAAGCAATGCTATTTACATTTGTTTATCAATTTTCAGCAGTATCGTGTAAGCTACCATGAGCTATTTGTAAAATATAATTATATTTTCACAGTTCTACAAAATGGCAGTCGGCCATTTTGGGATTATATTACAGATCACCAATCTCATTTGAACAGACTGATCAAAGGTTTTCCCTTATAGGGGATTCAGTATGTGGAGGTCATGCGGTATAAAACAAACCAAAGATGAATTTGGGATACATTTTGTGTAAAAAGCTTTATTTTCATTATAAACGGGACATATATTTTGTACCTTGAGCTGACGAGGTTAAAAAAATAGTGTTATATAAATTAGTAAATGTACGTTTAAAATAATTTTAAATACTTGTTTATTTAAGTCACACATGAGCAGATGAATTGCATAGATATATATTGATACAGACATTAAAAGGTAATTTGGAATTTAAAAAAAACAAGCCATGCATGGCACAGTCCCCGTTAGTTATCAAATTTAAGATATATAGTTTTGTTTATAGTAATATAGCTGGAATATAACCATGTCAGGAATATGATTTTTTAACATTAAAATGATTGACAATTGTATCTGATCGTCAAAAAAGTACTTGTCCATATTGAGAGATATTGCTCTGGAACAGCATTCAAAATCAGCCATTTTGAATACATGTATATATATAACATGACGTATAACGAATATATAAAATTTGAATATAATCAGTCAAAGCATGCAAGAGATATGGCTCTAGAAGCCCAATCATTAAAACAAAATGGCCGCCAGACAGCCATTTTGAATCCGATCTGAAAAATAAATGATGTGCATCAGGAACCTGTAATGTCTAACCTATGTACCAAGTTTGAACGAAATGCATCCATAAATGCTTGATATTTGATGATTTTTTAGCACAAAAATGGCCACCATTTGGCCATTTTGAATAGGATCGTCAAACCAATATATCTGTTCATCTATGACATGATGTATATTGAAAATTTAAAATTTGAACATAATCAGTGAAAGCAAGTCAGAGATATGGCACGAGAACCACATTCATTAAATTCTTATCTGAAAAACAAAATTATTTGCATTAAGGTCCCATAATGTCTAATGTATATACCACGTTTGAACAAAATCCATCTGTAAACAGCAGAGAAATGCTTGAGTTTGACGATTTTTTAGCACAAAAATGGCCGCCATTCGGCTATGTTGTATCAGATGGTGAAACAAATTGACGAGCATATGTATACTATCATGTATGATGTATGTATGAAGTTTGATTGTGATTGGTCCAGGCATTTCTAAGATACGCACTCAAAGACGCACGGACGGACGGACGGACGGACACACGGAGGACAAAACATAAGTCCTCGTTTTCGGACTACGTCCGAACGGGGACTAAAAAGATTATTACTCTAAAAAATGGACAGAAAATAATCCAACTTTTTTGCAAGTATGCACACCAATCTTGCTACAATCTAACTGTTTATGGAGGCACACAATACTTGGCTTATTGCATTAAAAACAAGCAATGCCAGTTAGCAAATTTAAGATGTATAGTTTTGTTTTTATAGTAATATAGTTGGAACATACACATGTCAAAGATATGGATCCAGAAGCTGATGCTTGATTATGATAATTTTTTAACATTAAAAGGATTGACATTAAGTCATCTTGTTAGGTATTGCTCTAGAACAGCATTAATTAAAACAAAATGGACACCGGCCGGCCAATAAGCAAATGTAACAAACGCTATAACTATCATAACTTAATTGCCATATTTGATTGGCAAGTGTGGGTATTCCTCATAATCACCAAAATACTAGGCATGTCGCATAGATCCTAGACTATACAATGAGATATTACTAGCATTGCTTCTAGGCATTATTATAGTAGTATATAGCGAGTGGAATGTTGGATAGATCCTAGAAAGTTCGGAGGTACAGTTACCAAGAATCCGTAATAGAGTCTGTTTTACAAAATATTATCAGAGATCATTTATCCTTGACAAAAACAGATTATAAAGTTTACAATGAAAAAAAAGAAAATTGATATATTTGGCTACAATTAAGCATTTGATTACAAAAGAGCCTATATACAATAGAGGTTCAACCTGCTAGAATACCGGTAGCTAAAAAAAAAAAACTGGTTAGAGTAAACATGAGGTATAAATGTGGAAAACAATTGTATTTTTCCGCCAAATTTCATAAAGAAGATCATCAATAAAACTTTATTGCAATACATCAATACAGTTGTTTTGCTATTAAATACAAAGTTAGTGAAGAATAATAATTTTACTGACACAATGGATCAAAAACTGTTACTACGTGTATCGACTTTCGCAATTCCATGATTTGTGGGTATTCGGCGAAGACTAACTTGCTGTCGTGGAAAAACAAAATCTAATGTTCACTGATACAGAATTTTGACCCTACCTGGTTCAATATTTTTGTTCAAAACAAAGATTAATAATTCATAATCCAATAAAAAAAAAATGGATAATTACAGCATTTGGTCCATCTGCATTCTTGAGATCATGAAATCTATGAATAGTGATTGACTGTACAAATATTCAATGAATTGAGTTATAAATTAAAGCGAGGGAGTCGTCACCTGCAGTTGCCTCAGATGGCCACAGTGTGTCATTGTTTACAAACAAGCGTCTACCCATGAGTCTTTGCGTTTTCAGCGTGTGTTGTTATCGTCGCTTGGGACTCAATTCCCGCGCATACGCAGGTGACGACCCTCCTGCTTTGAAATGGTAGTTGATTCTAATAATCGACAGAACAGGTCGGCTGTAGACGCATCTCTAAACACCATCGTCATAATCAATTGAAGAGATCAAATACAGATCTATTAGATACCTTTAAATTATACAACTATCAAACCGGTTAATGGAATAAGACTGAATGGAATCTACATGATTTGGTTTCTTATAAGTTCAAATAATAAATAAAATGCCATGGATTAACATTTTGAGTGTCATATGCTCAAAAGTATGTTCACATTTTTTGTAATTTTCACTAAATTCAATCTAAATTTTGGGCCGAACAGATGACTTTTGAAATTGCTTTAAGTTTTTGATCAACAATTTGATAATTTAAATCAAGATTTTCTGAGGAAAAGAGCAGACTACAATTGGAACCTTTTTTTCGCCAAGACAGTTTTATTTTGTGATCAAGTGATTTTGCAGTTGACTTTGGTAATCAAAGCGTTAATTGCATTAGTTTTGATTATTAAAAAGAAAAATATTATCACATGCTTTGGCGGTATTGGCAGCATTCATTTTTATCGCAATGCAAATGTGATAATAAAAAAACATTTATTGCAGAGAAAAGATGAGCATACAAGGTTCTTAGGGCTTGAACACCCAACTGTTTTAGAGAATGGTAAAATAATTAGATAACAATAAGATTAAAAAAAATGGTGACAAAATTTAAAACCTTGTTGCGGAACAGATTAAAATATTGCATTATAAATCTACCACAAAATCCTATTTACACATATGAATACACTAATGTTCGAAAATTAATGTTCGGATCTTGTCACCAACTCTGCTGTGTCTTCTTCGTCGTCTTCAGTCGGATTATACGCTGGCGACATGCCAGGCGGTAGCGGCTCTTTTACCTCGGGACTCGTCACCTGAGGTGGGGGTATTATTTCTGATCCGGGAACTGGAATGTTGAGCACCACATCTGTGGCTGCAGCACCGCCAATTTCAGATGAAATTGCAAATTTTTCAGGATCTGGTGGATCCGTGGAAGATTCACTAAGTGGCGGTAGTTGTATGTTGTATATTGGGTTGCTGAATGATGTGGATGACGTTGAATCGATCTTGAACTCTCCTTGCAACACAGGTTCCTGGAGAACACAAGGACAGAAATAAACATTCATTTACATTGATTAATCGCAAGTCGTTCAACAGCTTGGTCAGAATAAATAAATGTATTAATCACTGAAAATAATAAAACTCTGTAAAAAAACTATATCAGCACATGGTCAAAAATGCTTCTGAACTAGTTTTAACATTCAAATTGTCCTTTATATGCAGTAAAATACACGGCCAGCATTGACATGGTCAATAATATTGACATTGTATGCAAATACTTTCTTTCGTTTACATAGGATGCAAAAGCACTATACACAGCACACAATGGAAATAATATCCTGCCAATACACTTCAACATTAACACAATGCAAAATGTTATTGCTATTTTAGGTTGTTAATTAATTGCTAATTAAATTATAAATACAAGCAATTAAATGATGTAAAGGTCATTACATGAATACCGTAAAGTAAGTACTTGATCAGGCTGTATCAGCTAGGTGATTGTTGATATGATCACAATCATACTTATTCTGCATGCATTGTGTATACATGTACAAGAACAGGATGAAACATGATGCAAAGCGGCAACCGTGGCGCTTTAATTTTTGACAAATCTCAAAAAATCTAACAATAATCATCTGAAAAGTACAGAATATTTTTACATATTGTAAAATATTTACTAAATTTTATCATCATTTTAGACCATATGACTCGTTTCAGATATTGTCAATTTATATCAACATTAATGGGGTGAAAAAATACACAATGTACACTGAAAAGACAATGAGCAATAAGCATACCCCATTAGATGTAACGTCTGTATCATCGCTTAGATATGATGGTGTACCAAGATCTACATTCATACCATTACGGAAGGATACGCTTTGCTCACTTGTGTGCTTTGCCCTGTGAATAACAAAATTGTATATACATATTATTATCATCAGTCATCCAATTCACACCATCTATTTATTGTATCCTTCCACACTGTAGTGTACACAAGAGCTCTGAAATTATGACTCAGGAAGCAATTAATTATACAACCTAGGACTGAATAGCATGTCCATTGCATGTATGCTGTGAGTCTGCAGACCTTGTACAAATTATACAACCTAGGACAGAATAGCATGTCCATTGCATTACGCTGCAAGTCAGCAAACACTTGTACAAATTATACAATCTAGAACAGAATAGCATGTTCATTGCATGTATGCTGTAAGTCTGCAGACTTTGTACAAATTATACAATCTAGAACAGAATAGCATGTCCATTGCATGTATGCTGTAAGTCTGCAGACTTTGTACAAATTATAAAACCGAGGACTGAATAGCATGTCCATTGCATGTGCATGTATGCTGC